TACTATTTGTCATAAAACTGAGTTTCCTTACAATCCTTGAAAACAAGGTATTATAGAATGTATTCTTTCTACTATAAAAAATTATTTATCTGCTGTGAAAACCCATCATGGACTGTATGATTGAATTATTTAGCTTCCGACTGACGAGCTTCCAGATATGGAGCAGGTAGAATAAACGCCATCTTTTCAGCAGATGCCAACTTTCCCTCATGTCGTGCTGGCACCTGGCAACCACGTTGGAGAAAATGTCATCGTAACAGCGCTATGGCCATTCTCTTATCTGATAATATAATTTTTGAAGGACCAACGGTTGGAATACTACCTCGCTTGGGGACTGGTCACCTCTTCATACATATGGTCCCGGACTTTCTATGAAAAGATTCGTGGGAGGATTGTGAACTATTGATATGAAGAACTTTCAAACGAAATTGTGGAAATTAGTTGCTAGTATGGATTCGATAAATGTCCCGTGTCCCAAAAGATAAATATAAGGGAGACAATGTCACAAGTGACAGAGTCATGTCATGTGTACCTGAACCATATGTCTTATTGATTGGTAATAATGTAATCACTGGTGATTATCCAAAATTTAAGTTGTTCCCGTAAAATTTCTAACTATATTAGCTGTTAACAATTATGATTCAGTTGTTATTCTAAAGAATCCTCCTCTTGTTATGACATTGGTAAAGTTAAATGATATTTGGTATGATAATAATGGCTTGTAAATTTTAGAAGTTATATAAATTATCATTAAGAACCAAGAGAGCTGTAAGTCTTGTTATTGTAGAAATTGTTTCTTATCCCTATGATTGCTGCTGTCTCTACTTCTGCTGTAGCTTCAACACAAGAAGTCCACACGGCTAAGTTTTTAATTGGGTTAGTGCATATTGTGACAAAAATGTAAAGCAAAAGAATGTATAATCAATCATTTATGGCCAAAAAAGTTAAGGGGATGTGGTCAAAGACCAGTCACTTTTTTTTGGGGGGGGGCTCATTGTCAATGACAGAGACTTACATGCTTTATCAAGCAGCAGGTTGAATCCATAGCCTCCCGTCCCATAAAGAAAATCCTTACTGATACAGGCTAATAAACCGGGCAGCCAGAGATGGGTAAGACACCGGTCCATTTCAACCTAAGACAGGCACCCCGCCGTAGCTGCTGGGTTAGCCCATGACAGGTGCGGTGTCCAACCTAAGACAGGCGCCGGTTTCATACACGGTTAAACAGGCGAGCACCAAAGGTAATCCTGTTGCGCTTCTGCAGTCTTCAAATAATTATAAAAACAGGAGGACTTACCGGGAGCTATACGACTAACTTAGCTGAAGCCATTTTTCAATTCTCTGAAACCATTTTGTAATTCTCCAAGAACAGGTTTGGACATGTTGCCCTGGGAGGATAGGTTTCAGAAAACACCCTGCTAAGTTTCTGTTTACCAGATAAGTTTCAGATTACTAGAAATGACATGATGTTATTCTCCCTGATTGCATACTTCTCCTTTCCACTCCCCCCATTGTGCTTCTGTATATAAGCTGTGCTTTCAATAAAATCGAGACTTGATTGCAATCTCAACTTGTCTCCGCGCCTTTTGTCTCCTGTTCCCCCCCCCCCCCAAATTCTCGTTCTTCTCCACCTAGGGTCATCGTTGAAGATCCCCACAGGCCAGGGCAAGACTGAGTTAGTTTACTCAGCATAATGCTCTACAGTCCCTCCCAAATTAGGTAATACTTTACAAAATCATTGCTCCTGCATGCTGTATAGTATTTATTCCATTGGGTGGATATCATAACATCCTAATCCATTAGTTTGTGGTTGGACATCTGGGCTGTTTCCATTTCTTGTGATGGTGAATAGTGCTGCTATGAACATTGGTGTACAAGTCTCCATTTGTGCCTCAGTTCTCAGGGTATATTTCAAGTAGTGGAATAGCTGGGTCATATTGAATTTCTATGTTCAGCTTTTTAAGGAAGTACCAAACTGCCTTCCAGAGTGGTTGTACCATTTTACAAACCCACACACTATGTAAAAGTTCCTTCTCCCCACATCCTCTCTAACACTTATTGCTTGCTGCCCTGTTAAACTTTGCCATTGTTACTGGAGATGGTACCCATTTTGGTTTTGATTTGCATCGCTCTTATTGCCAGTGATTTTGAGCATTTTCCCCCCCATGAGTCTGTTTGCCATTCAAGTATCTTCCTCTAGGAAAATTCTGCTTTCTGTCCATTTTGTAATTGTCTGGCAGTCTTTTTCTTGTGGAGGCCCAGGAGTATTCTGTAAACTTTCATTATGAGACTCTTGTCTGAGATGGTATTACCAAATGTTTGTTCCCAATCAGTAGGTTTTCTTTTCACCCTGTTGCAAAAGGTTTTTGACACACAAATGCATTTATGTTTAGAAGGTCCCACTGATAAATTTTATCCTCTTCAGATTGTGCATTTCTGTCTGTATTTGGCATTCTCTTTACACCTTGGACTAATGCTTCTAAGCTTGATTCCAGTTTGCCTCTTATTAACTTTATGGTTTTGGGCTTGCTCCCAGGTCTCTCATCCGCCTTGAGTTGATTTCCCCCCCCCCTTCTTGAGTTGATTTTTGTGTTTGGTGTGAGATGCGGATCCTGTTTCAGCTTTCTGCAGGTGGAAGCCCAGTTTTGCCAGCACTATTTGTTGAAGATGTTGTCATTTGCCCATTTGCTAGCTTTTATTTCTCTGTTGATTATCAGTTGACCATAGATAGGTGGGTCTGTTTCTCGATTCTCCATTTTGTTCCATTGGACTACGTGCCTGTCTACTGCTGTGTAGTAGGGTTTGAGGTCAGGGACTGCTATGCCTCCCACCTCATTTTTGTTTCTCAGAAGTGGTTTGCTTATTAAGGGTCTCTTGCTTCTCCAAATAAATTTTATAATCTCCCTTTCAATCTCCTTGAAAAATTAATTTGGTATCTGGATTGGGATTGCGTTGAACATGTAGATTCCTTTTGGTAGGACTGTCATTTTCATGACATTGAGTCTTCCTACCCATGAACAGGGCACATTTTTCCATTTCTTTAAGTCTTTTATTGTGTCTTGCAGAAATGCTCTATAGTTTTCTTTGTATAGGGCTTTTATATCTCTAGTTAGGTTCACTCCCAAGTATCTCAATTTGTGGTTGGCTATTGTAAATGGTATTGCTTTCTTGATTTCCTTCTCTGAGTTCTCTTTGTTACTGTAGAGGAATCCTACTGATTTTTGGGTATTGGTTTTATATCCTGCCACGAAATTGGCCTACTAACTCTTAACAGGTTTTTTGCTGAGTCTTTGGAATTTTCTGTATACACTAGTATATCATCTGCATACAGTGACAGTTTAACCATTTCTTGGCCTATCTGGATGCTTTCAATACAATTCCAATCTCTTCTTAGTTAGACTTATTAATTATAAGTCATCTATCTTCTTTTGATTTCTGTCTCCCAAACCTAGTGCTGCGGCCTTTCCAGCAAGTCTGTGAACTATCTGATAGTCTTCCAATAAAATACTTACTTGGTTAAAAATAACTTTCTATTACTTGCAAACATGAGACTGATTCTCTAAGAACCACTGGTATTATTTTTGATAATCATTCTCTATTGCCTACTGGAATTTGGAGGCCAACATGTAAATCTGAAATTAAATCTGTTAGCTTTTAAATCATAATAACCAAGGATGCTCTTTACATGAAAGGGTGATGAAATGTCACCTTATATACTCTGGGTATGCTGCTGTCAGGGCTAGGCCTTGGAAAAAGGCATCATGCTGGGAAAGGTAGAGGGTCAGAGAAAGAGAGGAAAGACTCTCAGTAAGATAGATAAACACAGTGACTGTGACAATGGGTTTGACCATGTTAGAGATCATGAGGATGGCACGAGACATGGCAAGGTTCATATCTGTTGTTCAAAGGGTCGCTGTGGGTTACAGTCAACTTGATGGCACCTAACAACAGCACCAAAAATGTGCTTTTAAAGTGGTAATAAGATAACCTACCAATTAACTCACTGTAAGGAAATTAAAAGACATTGCCATGGGAAAGCCTGCTGTTAGGGACCTCTCCAGGGTACTGAAGAGCAATGGTGTCTCTCTGGAGACTAAGGTGCGTCAGATACAGGACATGGTCTTTGCAATCACAGTTTATGCATCAGAGAGTTGGACAATGACCAAGAAAAATTGATGCCTTTGAGCTGTGGTGCTGGAGAAGAGTATTGAGGGTACCCTGGACTGCTAGCAAAACGAACAGATTCATCCTGGAAAGGGTTAAACCAGGAAGCTCCCTGGAGGCAAGGATTCTGAGGCTCCGTCTAATATACTTTGGACATGTTGTAAGGAGGGACCGGTCCTTGGAGAGGGACATCATGATTGGTAGAGGGACAGTGCAGGAGGGGAAGGCCCTCTATGAGGTGGATTGATTCAGTAACTGGGGTAACTGGGATGGGAGTGTCAGAGACAATGTGATTGGCACAGGACAGAGCAGAGTTTAAGGCTGTTGTATGGTCACTATGAGTCATAAGTGACTCGAGGGCACATAACAACAACAACAACAAGGATAATTTATCTCTAAATATTATTTTATCATTTACATAATTACAAATAAAAATGAGTTTTTGATAAATTTGGATTACCCAAATTTAGAATAAATATGATATTTCAAACTAAAGGATAAGGCAAATACAGATAAAAAAGAAACATGACAAATGTATGCCAAAGTATATATGCATAATGAATAAGTTGATATTTCCAGTTATAATGCACTTGGTATATTATTGCTTAATCAATTTATAGGATTTTCAAATAAGTTTTAAAAAGTAAAGAAGTATGGACAGTAATCAATGAAATATTCTTTCAACTACCTAACATACACAAAAGACACAAATTTCAAATCAGTTTATAAGTTATATAATCACATTGGTCTATAGCATTGAGTCTACTGAAATGATAAAATGTGTCCCTATTATCTGAAAGTAAGCAAAGGCTTGCAAGTTTTTTAGCTGCTCCTCTAGACAAACATTTGTTCACTGATTAACACCAGAGGTGATGACACAATATTAAAAATGAGCATGCAGCAATTATACAATACATACTTTAAAAATCCTCTGTCCATCACAGTTGATTAATTCAGACAGAAACTTCTGCCTACCCTTAGTGCATTAGTATGTTGACAAGGAAAGGAAAATAATAACTTAATGCTATTCAGCACCTTTAGTAAAGTCAAAAGACTCAGCATCTCAATATGTCAAAAACTTTTGCATCTATGTCACCCAACATGTAAAGTTATTTTGTTCCACAACTTTTAACACGAATTATTTTATTTACATTATTTTAGTTCAATAAATTTTTAACAATATTTAAAAATTATCTAAATTCATAAAAGTATTTCAACAACTCTTATATGTACATACAAGGAAGTTCATGAAAAAAGTTAAGAGATGTAGTCAGAAATTTCAAGCAACATTACCAAATTTAGCAAAATTCCAACCAAATCAAATCTGAGGGCATTCAAACATTCAAAAATCTTCATATGCTGCTAACATGAACAGGAAAAGTTCCAGTAATAAAAGTCAATATGAGAAATAATGTTGAAATCACCAGTAGAAAATATATTTTAATAGGCATGACATGTTTAATAAGAACAATGACTTTATAGAAAACTTTTATAACATTGTCATATATGAACTACCTGGCTTGACATTATGATAAAGGTATATTTTAGGGCTACAGAAGTTGATTTCATAAAAATATATTTTAGCAGCCATATTTTTTCCAGTTAAAACAGCAAAATGCTAAAAGTAAAACTTAAAATTAACTAAATAATACCCAAATATTAGAAAATTCAAAATCCCATGCTATCCTAGTAATAATTGTCTCTATAATGATGTAGCTTTATGTAAGAATCGTGGAAAGTCAATAACAAATAGATGTACATGTGGGCTTAAAGTTTCACTGAAATACTTAGGTAGCAAAATATATGAAAAAGTAATAGAAAAGTAAAAAGATAAAATTAAAAAAATATTGCACAGCCACATCACCTAGAAAGTAAAGTTGTTGATGTTTTAAAAAGCTCTAAACATGGATGATATAAATGATCTTCCATATAAAATGTATAAATATTTCTTAGAACTTATGAGCATCTACAGTTCAATGTAACACATTACTTGAATCCTTGTCAAATGAGGTAATTGTCAAATTTCTAGCAATGTTTTTATCCTACTGGAAGTATTTGAGGGCAGCAACTAAAAAGAATTTTTCTAAAAATATTTCTGAATCAAGAACAGCTATATGTGCAGCTCTTCCAATTAGTGAATCCGCTGTATTGGGCAATGCATTGATGACATTATATCGAATCAGATTACAGTTCTTGCTCTGTAGAACTGGGTGAAGTAAGTTATGGATCATTTCAGAGTAGAACTGTCCTACGGAACAAATGGGAAAAGAAAGCAGTTATCAGTAATAATAACCTTTTACGAACTTTTTATATCATATAAAAAAAGTTAGCTGCAGTACAGAATCTTTGCCAAAGGGGTTTATTTTAATGTCATTTTTTTAGATTGATGAAGAATGAAAGTAATGTATTATTTATCTAGTTAAATACACAAACACACCCCCCCAATTGATATTTTTTTCTTTCAAAGAAGCACTTACAACTAGAAAGAATAATGTCCTACAGTTTTTAATTGGGTTCAAGGAATAAACAGGATCCTTTTATTTGGTTTGAGGTTTATTCAGTTCTGAGTTCAGCTTTTAATTGAAAGTTATACTCCTTTCTCATTTTTTGTTAATTCTTATAAGGGATTAAATGATGTCATGCTATTCATAAAAGATAAATTTTATATATATCCAAACTGTTTTATAAGTGGAAACACATGGTTTTTAATATTTACACATACATATGTTGCTAAAGGGAGCTTCAGTGGCCTAGTAGCTAGGAAGCTGTGCTGCCAACTCGAAGGCTGGTGGTTTGAATCCACTTGCCAATCCTTGGGAGAGAAATGGGTAATTTCCTCCTGTGTAATTTACTGCCTCTGTAAACCTACTAGAAGGGTCAGCTATGAGTTGGCCTTACCTCAACGACATACAACATGCTGCTAATATATTGGTGCACATATATATCCATGGAAATGGTTACTCTTAGGGAGACAGGTATTAAATTTTAGAGAAGTATGGTAAGAAAGAAAGAATATGTAGAAGTACAACTAGAGAAATAGAGAGACTGACTTAAAGAGAAAGATTAATATTGCAGAGACTTAAACTTTGGTTCCAACTTCTCTTAGTTTTCATTTTGAGTTAGCACAGACTTCTCGGGCCATGCTCCTTTCTATTTACACAGAGAAGAAATTCAAACAAGCCTTCATTATCATTTTTCCTGTATGTTATGCTGCTAACCAAAAGTATGAGTGTTTCCAAAGGTTTCAATTCTCCAATTACTCCACAGAAGAAAGGTGAGCACTCTTTTCCTGTTAGGAAACCTGGAAGACGGTCACTGTGAATTAGAATTAACTAAACAGCAGTAAGTTTTCCTTTGAGTTTTGTGTTTCTAGTGACACACAATCTCACTGTTCAAAGGAACTACGTATAACATTTATCTATCTCTTGTTTCTCACATAACCTCTGCATTTCTAACCTCTGCTAGAATAGGAGTAAAAGGATTATGGTATCGTATATGAACAACTAATATCTGTTAATTGAATGTAATACCTATTTTGTGCCAGGCACCAGGTTATACAATGCCAACAAAACATGTATATAAGAGATTCCTGTCCTAAGGACCTGCTCACTGCTACATTTAGAAAAAGCAAAGGACCTAGAGTTCTTAAAATAAAGTCTAAAACCAAAGTGAATCAATATGGGGATGTAGAAAATTCAGGTACTTGCTCTGTAATTAACTAGCAGTGACTAGGGATAAGTTAATGAACATAGCTGGGCCTCAGCTATAAAAAGAGCAAATAGGACCTAGGTGTCCTTCATTGCTCCAGATCTTAATATCTTTGGTTATTAAAAACAGTAAAGGAATAAAAAAAATATTAGCACAGATTACCAGGAAGGTGGCGCAGGTCTTCACGACCTTTTTTGCCTGAAAGTACAGCAGATCATGCAGCAAGACCATTACTACATGAGCAATCCTCATACTCCTGAGGAAATCAAGGCACAGATTACAAAACAGAGCAGCATTTGTAGTTATTTGATAACAAATACTGCTTGGCTAATAAAGTTGTCCGACATGACAGGAGAGAAAGAAAAATGAAGGCTGGATCACCATTACTACTAATCAGTGAGAGAAGGAAGAGGGTGAGAGACAGTGACTACTGGTTTAGGTAAAAGTTGTCAAAGTAGTTTTTACCTGACTGTTTGTCCTTTAATGCTGTTTTACACATCTCAATGCGAGCAGAGTGATATGGAACATAGCGATCCTGTAGAGATCCCACTAGTACAACATTTTTGAAATAATGAAGCCCTGTGAAGGAAAAAAAATACCAAAACAAAACCAATGCTAACACAACAATTAACCAGATTAATTTATCTTGTCAAGTGACCAAGAAATTTCTTAGCAGTAACTTTATTACTTTTGCATACCTAATGCCTCTTTTTTGCAAATTTCTATGCATTTCCCAGAAAAATCCCTATAGTTTATTGCGCATGTGCTGGCAGAAGAAATGTGACTTTGCACGTAGATAAAGGATTGTGTCGAGGATGTGTGAGAGAGGAATATGAGGCACAGGAAGCATGTCTATTGGTTCTAAAAGGTAAGATTATTTACGACTCTCTCTCCCTTAGACAAAAATTGTAGCCTTCCATGAAAATAAACACAACACTCACATAAAGTTTCCTTGCACTTATTTTCTTCTTTATGAATTCATGCCTTGAGTTGCAATACTTAAGGATGCTATGGCAGAATATTGAATGATCTAGGAACCATTAAAAAAAGGAGTATACAGAGTATACCAAAAAGAATTGGCGGACACAGAAGATTTTAAAGAAATAACATATTAACAAGAGGCAATGATGATGATGATGAAGGAAGTTCAGGCTGCTCTGAAGGAATGATGGAATACCAACAGACATATTTCAACAAACAGATGCTTCTCTGGACGGATGTGCTCACCGGGTTCCACCAAGAAATCTGGAGGACAACTACCTGGCCAACTGACTATTTATTCCCATTTCAAAAAAAGGTGACCCAACAGAGTATGGAAATTATTGAACAGTAACACTAATATCACATGCTGGCTGAATCATGAAGATTATCCAAAAATGACTGGAGAAATACATCAACAGAGAACTACCAGAAATATAAGGTGGGTTTAGAAGAGGCCATCACATTAGAGATGATATAGCCAATGTCAGATGGATCTTGGCAGAAAGCAAAGAGTACCAGAGGAATGTCTGTGTTTCATTGATTATACAAAGGCATTTGACTGTGTGGATCACAACAAACTGTGGCTAACCTTGCGGAAAATGGGAATCCCAGAACACCTGATTGTGTTCATGTGAAACTTAAGACCAGGAAGTAGTCCTCTGAAGAGAGCAGGGAACACTGCATGGTTCAAAATCAGAAAAAGGAGTGCATCAGGGATGTGTCCTGTTTCCGTACCTTTACAATCTGTATGTGGAACAGATCATTCGGGAGGCTGGGCTTTATGAGGAGGAATGTGGCATCAGTATTGGAAGACTCGTCAGCAACCCTGTGATATGTAGATGACACAACCCCGACTGTTGAAATTGAGGAGGATCTGAAGCACTAGCCGCAGAGTTAAGGACTGTAGTCTTCAATATGGATTAAAGCTCAACATCAAGAAGACAAAGATTCTCATCACGGCCAATTAGCAGCACCACAGATAGATGGAGAAGAGATTGAGGATGTTAGCAATTTGAGCTTGCTCAGCTCCACAATCTTGGCACCAGCAGTCAGGACATCAAAAGACAAACTGTGCACTGGGAAAATCTGTGGTCAGAGATCTATCTAGAGTACTGAGAAGCAAAAGATGTCAGTCTAGAGACCAAGATACACTTGATTCAGACCATGATCTTTGCAATTACCTGCTATGCTTCAGAGAGCTGGACAATGACTAAGGATGACAGAAGAATAATCAATGCCTTTGTGGTGCTGAAGAAGAGTACTGAATATGGACCATGAGAAGAAACAGATCTGTCTTGGAGAGGTTGAAACCAAATTTCTCCTTAGAGGTTGGGATTTTGAAGCTTTGTCTCACATACTTTGGGCACGTGGCCTGGAGAGACTGGCTCCTTGGAGGACTACATACATGGAAGGGTAGAGAAACAGCAAAGGAGATGAGATGGACTGACAGTAACTGGAGTAATAGGGGTAGGTGTGTCAGAGTCAGTGAGACTGGCTCAGAATAGGGCAGGGTTCAGAGCTGTTGTACAGAGGGTTGCTATGAGTCATGGGTGACCTGACATCACATAACAATAACAACAACCACCACCACCACCCAATCCTTATTTAAGAATGATGTCAGAAGGGGATATGCTTTAAATTTTTAGAAATAATGTGTTTTCAAGTTAATCTTACTATATTTTAACTTTGTAAACAATGTGAATTTATAACTTGTGATTACTTTGGGATACATCATTAATTAGCTCTTGTAAGTACTGAAATCATGTTCTTGACCTTTGTAGTACTAATAATGCTCTAATTTTACTACTTGGTTCATGGTAGTAAATAAATAAAAATATAGGTGAGTATTCAATAGTTATCAGTCAATAATAATAAAATAATAATAATAATAATAATAATGTATCAGTATTCCAGAATAAATTTTTATATTTTACAGCTCTCTTCAATTTAGGTTATTACAAGACAGGACAACTGTGGGGATTAATGTAGACCCAGAAATGCAGCTCCTTGCAGAAATCCTCTTTCTCTGAAATGAAAGAGTCCTAATCTGACAATGAGAGAGGTGAGACTCTGACAGGGGGGAGTTTTAGGGGCTTAGCCTGTAGGCAGCTGCAATGCTGGCCCTGGGGTGGCACCTCTCTGGTGGCTTGAATCCTACTACTCAGAGGGGCAAAGGTGGAGCAATCTCCTTCCAAGTGATTAATAGCTGGCCCTCCAGCTGGGTTTTGGAGGCTATAACTAAGTACGTTTCAAGTTTCAGTCACTTCCTGAAGTAAGTGAATTCCCTTTCTAGCCTCCTGTGCAATCTATTCTTGCCATTTCTGTCCCTCACACTGTAACTGTCAACTTTCACTGACATTCAAGCATCATTCCTTGTGTATCACCTATACCAAATATTCCATAATCCAGTGCTCCTTAAAAAAATGTTCCCTTTATTTTGATGGCAAAGTTGATATATAAACTTCTATAGTTATCAATGAGTTGGAATCAATTCATTGTTAATTTGATATACAGATTAGACAGATAGATAGATATATACAGATAGATAGATATTCAAATGTCTGTTGCTGTGTACTTCAAGCCAGAAATGACTCATAGCGGGTTTTCAGAGGGAGTAAATCACACTGAGTATATATCTTTGGGTTGGCAGCCCAACTCCTTGCCACTAAGCCACAAGGATTAATTCAACGGCATTACACATTTAAAGTTACATTTTATAAAAATACATAGTGAGAAAAATAGTTATCCTCCTCTTTCCACACTTCATGAAAGAAATTAATCCTAATCTGAACATTATTTGACATCAATTCCATAATCATTACTGGAGTTATTTTTAGAATTATCTAAGTGTTCTAGAGCAGAGACCTTTTAATTGGTATAGATTTATTCACTTCCTGGGGATGTGGAATGGGGGTTACAGACTTAAGAAAATTAAGTCTTAAGGAAATTTTCTGACTTTAACTTCCTTATGAGCTATTTTCTAAAAATGACTGGTCCTTTCCCCACTCTGTAAGAGAAAATTTGTATTCCAATATATTATAGATCTTATTAAGGTAAATGGCCTTAGGTTTTTAAAAACCTCTAGGAACCAGCAAAACCCAATATCTTTTGAGAAAAAGTTAGTTTTGATGTGACTGATGGTTTTCACAATGAGAAATGGCTTTGCCAGTTAGATTTTATGGCATATATTTTCTATATATTAAGTGAGCTAAATCTGAACCTCCAACTGAAATATGAAAAATAAACTTTTCATATTTTGAAGGAAATACAATTAAAATATATATGCAATCCAGTACAGCATAAAAGTATATCTTTTGCACTATTTAAATTTATGGCAAAGATTTCTAGATATGATTATTATTTTCTAGATATGATTATTAGTATTACTATCATGACTGGAGTCCAGAATGAAGGCAGCATGGTGAAGTAGACCTAAGGGGAGGGACTGTATAACAATGAAAGAATTTTTCTTTTACTTTTCAAAGAGAAGAAAGAATTGGGGGAGAGGGGTGGGCAGGAGAAAAGTGCAACAATGAATGAATGGAAATCTAAAGTCTTTGTAAATGTTCATTAAAATTAAAACAAACAAGCAAAAACATGCAAGTAGTACATGTTGTTAGATGCTGTGGAGTCGAGCACAACTCACAGTGACTATATGAGCAAAAGATCTGAACCCCATCCTATCCTGTGCCATCTTTACACTTCTGACAACTAGAGCCTACTGCAGCGATCACAATGTCAATCTACCTGGTTGAGGGTCTTCCTCTCCTTTTCTGACCCTCCACCTTTCCAAGCATCATGTCACACAGCTGGCCTTTTCACTTAACTTATATATTTGTATTCTCTACAAAGAGTCACAAGCTGCACAATTCCAAGGATGTGAATCCCAGTCCCTTTTACTTTATAAACACTCTTGGACCTGTGCATAGCACAGCTCAGGGCAAACATTCATTTCCATACGTCCTAAAATTCTTTTTTCTTCAAACTGCCCACATCTTCAGTCCTCTCCTTCATGTAGGTTATGACCTTGTTTCTCATTTCAGGTAATGTAGCTGAATCAGAAGAGAAGTTTCACAGCAACATAGAACCAACATATCATATCTGCAACTTTTTATTTTGCCTTCTTTCCTGTTCCTACTGTAAATAAGCTGTTCATGTCCCATATCAGGCCAGCACTTTCACCTGAATACTAAGTCCAGTCCTTCCAATTCTCTCTCCTGCAGCATCAATTTTTCTTTTTTATCAGAATTAATAATTTTAAAACTAAAATGCTACAGACGCTGCCCTGGATGTGCTCACTAGGTTGTGCCAGGAAATCTGGAGGACAGCCAGCTGGCCAACTGACTGGAAGAGATCAATATTTGTTCCCATTCCAAAGAAGGGTGACTCAACAGAGTATGGAAATTATCGAACAACAGCACTGATATCACATGCAAGCAAGATTCTGCTGAAAATTATCCAAAAACGCTTGGAACAATATGTCAACAGAAAACTGCCAGATGTGCAGGCTGGATTTAGAAGAGGTCGCGGTACTAGGGATATTATAGCTAATGTAAGATGGTCTGGGCAGAAAGCAAAGAATACCAGAAGAATGTCTA